AAAAAAAAAAAAAAAAAAGTGATCAAACAAATCTGAAAAAACGATTTGTAATGGAAAAAAATAAATTAAACACGATTTGCCTGAGCACAACATTCGAATTCCTCACCAAATTTGAAATAAAAATAAAATACGGAAAACAAATACTAATAATAAAAATAAATAAAAATAAAAAGAGAATTAAATTTAGTGAGTGCGCGAGTATGTTTTCCACACCGCCATCATTGGCAATTTTTCTTTTTTGTTTGGCATTGCTAAATGCCCTGAAAATTTACAGATGTGTACTTCACATAATACACAACCCATTAAAAAAGTTTCAAAAAATAATAAAATTGTTTAGACCCTGAACTAAAGTGAAAACAAAAACTAAAAACTGAAAAAATACGTGGGCAAGCACGTTTTTGACATTGCCATCTTTGGCGATTTTTAATTCTTATTTGGAAAAGCCAAATGACTTGAAATATTACACGCATGTACCTCACGTCATAGAGAACGCACAAAAGAAAATTCAGAAAACAATTATTATTTGTAGGCCCCAAAATCATTTTTGGCGGCGGCCGAACGCTGTCGGGTTCGGACCCCGTATGGGACCCCGAATGCCCGTATGTACGGAGGTCTGCCCGCGGACCTCCGTACGCACGGGCTGGTGACCCTGTATATATATATATATTTTTTGGCCGACAGTTGAAAAACTGCGGCCGAAGCAGAGACTCTGACAGGTGCTTTGAGAGCAACAGATAAACTGTCGGGTAGAGCACCTCAGACGGGTGAACCTACCTGAGTACTTGGACTGGTACAACGGGATACCTACGCCACACGTCGGAAACCTTTTTGGAAGTAGGTAAAATTTTGTAGTTCTGACTATGCCAGTTTCGGAGCCACGTAGGCGGAGGTTCCCTTTTGGAGATGGCTGTTTACGGTGGAGTCAGAAGCATGACGTTTTGCGAGTTTTATTGTTTTATTTATTTATTTATTTATTTATTTGTTTTATCTCGGTATGTAACGAGTATCAGAATCGGGTTCATGAGGAAAACATATGAGTACAGTAGGCATAGGCAGAAGCTTCCGTACGGCACGTATATAGTAAGAAGAGGCAAGGCATTAGGCCTCTTTTTCGACAGAAGTACTCGTGTGAGTACACCTTCCTTATGAGTCCGAGTAGTAGCCGGACGAAACCGGTAGGAGGATCTACTTTGTTGTTTTCTGGGAGATCTGGATATGGTGGTTTGGAAATCTAAGACATGTGTGAAGTCTGAGCAGCAAGTTTTCGAGAAATGAAGGTTGAGCTCGTATTTGTCGAGTTTGTTCATTCTCTCTGATTTGCCGATTACTAAGTGTGCATGTTTGTCTTTCGTACTACTGTGTCTCCCGACATACTGTTCTGCCGCAATCAGCCTGCTTATCGGAACGCAGTAACCGGTGTCTTATTAGCATTACGGCGGCTATGTTAGATTACCTCTGTGGTCAGAGTTACTTCCGTTGAGAGAGTACTATAGTGGTTACAGTACCTTCGTGGATAAAAGACTACAATGGATAGAATACTGTAGAATTACTCCCACCACTGCCGGAGTTCCGAAATCAGGTGATGTTGAGATAGACAAGTTAGATGAGAAGCCTAGGACAAGAACTGTAATCAGATCAGTTCTGTATCCTATTTATTATAAGAAGTGATAGAGTTTTGAAGTGTCGAGTTTGGAAGAAACATGAATAACGGGAATAACGGGAAACACATAGCACGAGATTGCTGGTCTAGGCGAGGGAGACCAAATCAGCAAGAAGGCGAAGTACATGTGTTTATGAGGGATCTGATGGAAGAGAAGAAAGAGGAGAGGAGACGGAAAGTTGAAGATGAACAAAAGTGACATAAAGAAGAGGACGAACGAAAGCGGGAACTAGACATCGCCAGGAGAACGGAAGAAATAAAGTTACAGCTACAGGCCGAGATAGAGGAAAAACGGAGGAAGCAGCAGGAGGCTGCAGAGAACAAGACAAAAGAGAGCAAGAGAGATTCAGTGAGGGTTTCCAGCCCAGGGATCTCACCGCAGAGCAGGACGATAAACAGAGAGAAGACGAAGAGGAGGACACGAGTGAGAGCTGAGAAGGGTAAGGAAAAGCACGTGGTACCGGAAACGATGAGCTCAGATACAGACGTGAGTAATGAGGAAACGACAACCGAATCAAGCGAAGACTCGGAGGAAGAAACACTACGGATTATTCGGCTACTTCGTACCAAGAAGCAACGATCGAAGGCGAAGAAAGCACGAGGACGAAAGAGAACTGTGAAGAAGACACCACCGAGCGAGTACTCAAGAGGAGAATGTTCGAGGAGACCTGAGACTACAGCAACGCGGGTGAAAACGGTAACAGAAGAACCGAGAACACCGCTTACTGGAGGGTACAAAGGCATTGCAGCAGGGTGTTCACAAGGGGGTTTCGTCGACTACACGTTACAAGTACTCCAACAATTCTCAGCGAAAAAAGTTCCACAGCTCCGAGAGATTTGTGAGAAAGAAGGGATAAGATCTACAAGAAAGGATGAAATGATTATGGAACTGGTCAAGAGACAGACGAAGCGGGCTTATGGAGATTTCTTCGATACACCGCAGAAGCAAGACGAAGAGAAGCAGAACAGCCAAAAGACGGAGGCCGTAGACAAGACCCCGTTGGAAGTAGTCAAGACGGCGGTAAACACGAGAGCGAAGGCGAAGATGTTTTTGCCACCACACAGCATCATCAGATCAGCCCCGCCATCTGAGCAAGGGTCTGATTGACTAGCGGTGCCCCTTACAATCGGTGAGCTTTGGCGAACGCTGCGGTTATGCATGGACGCTAGGCGGACCCTACGGGGGCAGAAGGCGAAAGGCGAAGAGCTCGTGGACATTGAGCAACGCATCACTACGACTACGATGCTCCTTGGTTTGAGGGGAGAAATCTCCTGGTTAACAAAGTACCTGGACAAGGCAGATTGTGGGGAAGCAATGCTAGATCTACGTACCGGGGGAACATACATCATAATGAGCCCTTAGGCGAAGCGGGTACACGTCGGATGTACGACGAGGACAATCCTGCAACGATGGCGCGAACACGTGTATGCTGCGACGTCGAGATCTCGGGGAAAAGCCCCTCAGCTTTACCGGTGGATGAGGACTTTGGCGTGGACAAATTCGTGGTCATTCCTATACGGCACGAAACGGCAGCATACGATCTTAGCTTCGAACAATACCTCATTAGCGATTTGTCACCAAGCCTGAACACTAGAGGAACGAAACAGCGAGGGGCGAAATCCAGAAGACGAAAGAGGGAGGAGAGAAAGGAAGAAACGGGTAGGTGGTACCACGGGACAGGCAGTAGTGAAGTTCATCACACCGGAAGGGACGCGAACCTCGTTGCTGAGTTGGATGAAGGAAAAGCAAGAGGAGAAGGCCGGTGCTACGGAGGTGGTTTTTATTGCGGGAAAGCAATGGACGAACGGATGGAGAAAGATCAGTACGGTATTTGGGATGACAGAGGTCGAAGTCAGGGGAAAGATGGTGTTGCTGAAGCACGCGAAGTCGGCATGCCAATTGGGGGGGAAGGTGAAGTTTGTGCGTTTTCGCAAAACTACCACCACCACTGAACGATATAAGCTTGAACTGATTAGGCTTTTGAAGCATCCCAAACTGACTACTTCTCTTTCCCAACAGTCGACGACTAAGTTAGTAGGTTTCTATAGGACGGCTAACTTATTCGGTAGGAAAGAGATGAGAGAAAAATTGAAGCTGAAAATAGATCGATCTCTGAGAAAGAAGATGGGAGTTAGTGTGAGGCGGAGAGTGATTGTCGAATATCCATATAACGCATCGATTCAGACAACTGAAGTCAGACGACAGACAGAGGCGGTGGTCGATGGAAAGCTGAGCGACAAGGCTTTGGCCACGTTTGTGAAGAGAAAGGTGAGAATAGTAAGTACGCGGAACAGGACGGTAGGGGAAGTTGCGCATAATCATAGGTCCCACACCCATACCAAAGCGGTGCGATGCCCTTGTGAGGCTTGCGATCTGCCGAAGCGAGATGGTCACGTGCTCACACGGATGTCCGAGATGACCGACGCGCCGAGGTTCTTACAAAATGCGCGGAATGTTACGAGGCCAAATGCTGAGACATACTGGAAGGATATTATCCAAGGGATATGCGCGGCGACAGCCCACCTAAAAGGAGGTTCACGGAATGGAGTGAACGAAGCGTTTGCTGATTCCTGTTTTAAGTCAGAGAGTGAACGATGTGGGGCATGGACAGAAAGTGAGGTACGGGTGTGGTTTTCCCGTTACCCAGATCTGGTCCTCGCGCCTGTAGATCGCAATCCTGGCGATACTGCTATGATCTGCCCGGTGCTGTACAGGCACGGGTTTGGGAGCGTTTTCACCTGGAATCGAGACTACGAGACAGTGACGGAACAAGAAGACGAAATTCTGGCGAAATGCAGAAGGGATTTCGAAGAAGCAGGGATTGTTGAGATTGGGAAGTGGAAGACGGATGGGAGGTTTGGGAAAGCCTATGTGATACCGAAGGATAAAGACCTGCAACGCTGGAGACCGATTGCTCCAACGTGCAATGACCCAACTGTGGCAGCACAAAGAAGGGGTGCGAGAGCTTTGCATTGCCTCATCATAAGGTTCTCCAAAACGAAGAATTTTCATTTGAAGTCGACAATGGAGCTCAAGAGTGATCTGGGGAAAGCGGAAGACATGTTGAGGAAGGAAGGATGCGATAGGGCGATGGGAAGATGCTACGATATCAAAGAGATGTTCTCTTCGATATCGCATCAATCTGTGAGAAACGCAGTATCAGATCTGGTGATGTACTTTGAAGAGCAAGGATGGAGACAAGTAAGAGTTGCAATCAGAGGGAAACTATGCCAGCTATCGAAGACATACCGCAAAGAGGCTGGGTTTATCTCGGTGAAACTCGATATGATTAGGACAATCGTGGATTATGACCTCACGCACACATATATGACGCATGGGGAGGTAGTAAGGAAGTAAATTATGGGGATTCCTATGGGAAGGATTACAAGCCCTGTGTTGGCAACCGTGACATGTGCGATGGCAGAGTTTGCTTTTCTCACTAGTCTCGGGGCAGACAGGAGGTTAGTGAAGGGGTGGAGGATGGTAGACGATATATCGATCATAGTGGGTTGTAACAGAGACCATGAAACGTGGCAGAAAGTAGTTGAGATCCTGAATGCTTTTGAAGAGACATACGACCAGAAACTGAAGCTGATCATGAAAGATGAGGTTTGGACGGCGCTAGTACGTGGCGTTTCATTGGAGGACAAATGTATATCATGTCCAAACCAGTGCCGCTACATTTTGTACAAGAGACGAAAAACATCGTGACTTTGAGAAAGCACGGGACCCTGCAGTATCAGTCAATGCAAGATTTTGCCACCTATTCCGACAAGAAATCAAAGAAGGGTGTGCTGTCGGCGACACTGAAGAGACTCTGGCAATCGTCAACCTCACCAGCATTATGCATAAGCTCAGTAGCTTCTGAAGTGACTGAGAGTATCCCCCGGGGCTACCCCCCGGAGGTTTCACTAGGCGCCTTAGCAAAACTGGCTAAGGCTACGGCACAAAAGTCTCTGTGGACTTTGACAGGCGTGTTTCAACTGTATTGGGACGGTAAGAAGCGGGGAACAGATTTTCGAAACCGGGACTTTTGGAGAAATGGCCGACAGTTGAAAAACCGCAGCCGAAGCAGAGACTCTGACGGGTGCTTTGAGAGCACCAGATAAATTATCGGGTAAAGCACCTCAGACGGGTGAACCTACCTGAGTACTTGGACTGGTACAACGGGATACCTACGCCACACGTCGGAAACCTTTTTGGAAGTAGGTAAATTTTTTTAGTTCTGACTATGCCAGTTTCGGAGCCACTTAGGCGAAGGTCCCCTTTTGGAGGTGGCTGTTTATAATGGAGTCGGTAGCATGACGTTTTGCGAGTTTTATTGTTTTATTTATTTATTTATTTATTTATTTGTTTCATCTCGGTATGTAACGAGTATCAGAATCAGGTTCATGAGGAAAACATATGAGTACAGTAGGCATAGGCAGGAGCTTCCATACGGCACATATATAGTAAGAAGAGGCAAGGCATTACGCCTCTTTTTCGACAGAAGTACTCGTGTGAGTACACCTTCCTGATAAGTCCGAGTAGTTGCCGGACGAAACCAGTAGGAGGATCTACTTTGTCGTATTCTGGGAGATCTGGATATGGTGGTTTGGCAGTCTGGGACATGTGTGAAGTGTGAGCAGCAAGTTTCCGAGACATGAAGGTTGAGCTCGTGTTTGTCGAGTTTGTTCATTCTCTCTGATTTGCTGATTACTAAGTGTGCATGTTTGTCTTCCGTACTATTGTGTCTCCCGACAGACTGTTCTGCCGCAGTCTGCCTGCCTGCATTTGGCTATTCCAAAAAAAAAAGAAAAATCGCCAAAGATGGCGGTGTCGAAAACGTGCTCGCGAACTCACTCAATCTAGTTCTTTTTTTATTTTTTGTTATTTTTATTATAAGTATTTCTTTTTCGTAATTTATTTTTATTTCAAATTTGGCAAGGAATTTGTATGTAATGCTCAGACAAATCTTGTTTAGTTTATTTTTCTTCATAGCATATCTTTTTTCAGAGGTTTTTGAGGTTTTTTTTTTTTTTTTTTTTTTTTTTTTGGGTGGTTTGCGTTCGGTCGGAACGACCGAACGCCTCCAGAAGGGGTCCCGTACGTTCGGGCGTTCGGGTTCGGGCGTTCGGCCCGTCCCGAATGCCGGTAACCCTGTATATATATATACATGCAATATAGGGTACTAGAGGGACCCAAGGCAAGTTTTTTAACCGTACAAGGGGAAAAAAAAAAAAAAAAAAAAAACACTTTTAAATCTTGGTTACCATCCAGGCTGTTTGGGTCACCCTTTTTGCCCAAGCAGACTGGTCATGCAAAAACCATATAAGAATAAATACATAAATAAATATAAATTAAAAATAAATATGTTATGTATAAAAATCAGTTGAACAACTTTTGTACTAAGGTTATATCGAAATTCTTTACGAAATGTATAATAAAAATAATAATATTTGTTTGTTCGTTTTTTTAAGAATTTTGATGAGACTCTCAGGCAAAAGTTGTTTATTATATTGTTTTGCAAAACATAAATGTTTAGCATATTTTTTAATTTTTAATTTTTAATTTTTTTCTTTGACTTTCTCTAGGTTTTTGCATGGTCAAGCCGCCCATGAAAATATGGTGACCCGAGGGTTCTGGTTGGTAGTCACGGTTTTTGTTTTTCTTTGTTAGATCAGGCAAGTGGTCTCGGACCACTTTTGTAGCCTAACATTAAATTTAATATAAAATTTGGATATGACCGTGATGCAAAAGTTGTTCAATTTATTTATATACATTAAATATAGGCTATCAACCAGGCCGTTTGGGTTAGCTTGTTTTCCCACGTTGCCCAACCATGCAGGGCTCGTCGAAGGTCCCAAAAAAATAAAAATAAAAAATCATAGGCTATCAAAATGACCCTTAACCACTTGCCCAACCGGGCGAATTTTGTCTTTTAATAACATATAAAAATATTTTTTAATAGTTTTTTTTTTTTTTTTTTGTAAAAACAATTGTTGTGACTCTGAGGCAAAAGTTGTTCAGTTTATTTTTCGGCATAAGATAGTTTGTTTTAGAATTTGTTTTTTATTTTTCCAGGGAACTTCCCCTTTCCTTGCAAAAGCGGGTCGCCTGGGAAAACAGGGTGATCGGATGGTCCGACTAGTAGCCTGGTTTCACACATAAAATTAACACAATTTATTAAAAGAAATACATGTTATTTGGTCGATACACTCTTGAAGAAAAATTAGGCCTTGCATTACCACCTAATTAAAACTTT